TCATCACCTATGGACTCACAGCCACACCAAAGAGAACCAACAGGCAAATCACATAGACAGCCCCACACAGAGCACACAGATGATCACACACAGCCGACAACATTGTGCACGTGCCCACACACACAACTCCAGGTTCAAACGGCCCTGGAGGCGAACTTCCAGATCCAGACCCTAACATGCTACCTCTGTATGTGAGAACGTGTGTGTGCACTTGTGACTACATGGAACCACATACAGCTCTGGTCACAGAGAGAGGCGCTCACAGGCAAACACAATTGTACAAACACAGAAGCCTCAGTCACACACATACACACACAACCATGCTCAAGCAGATGGCTGCCCATAGCCGTGTACACACACAGCTATTCACCAATCAAGTCAGAGAAGAAACACACAAGGAAGGCATATACAGGCGCACAAACACGAAATGCAGGAATGCCGAGGGTACACTTACTCTCCTTGAAAAGACGAAATCTAGAAAATACACCTAAAGCGACATGACGAAGAAACAGAGACACCAAAAGAAACACCCACCCATAAGGCACACACACCTGCAGCCACTCACCAAGGAGAAACACAGACACAGTGACAAACACACGGAGAAGAAAGAAAAGACATGCATACATAGGACATACACACACACAGGAGAGTCAAAAAGTCAAACACATCCATCACCTACATCCAAATGACACACACACAATTGCACAGGCAGACAGTACCAACACATACAGTCACCAGAGAGGAAACACATGAGCTGGACAGGCAGCCATAGACAGAAGGCACAACCCAGCAAGTTACATAGGAAGACACACATGCAGCTCACATACATGCGGTTGTGGCTGAGAATGTATATAGGCAGATGAGAGACACACAAGGTATTCACACACACACACACCTGCCGAGCCCCCTCCAGCCACTGTCCCCTCCCCTGTCTCCTCTGATTTCTCTCTCCTCTAATACCCCTCCCCCACCAGAGCCATTACACATCTGTGCTACAGGCTGGCCAGGGAAAGAGACACCTGTCAGCAGAGGCCTTGGCTCAGGTGGCTAAAAGGGGGGAGGAGAGCTAGGCAGGTATCTATATTTCAAGAAAAGTCTGAAGAACTAGTGTACCGTGGACAAAAAATAGACATCCCCCTCTCCCCACCCTTCCACTGCCTCCTGGCCGCAGCCTCTGGCTGTAATCACTCCCTTCCCCTCCCAAGGCCTCCCCTGGTTCTCCAACATTGCCCAGCACAGGGCTACCAGGCACACAGTAGGTGTTCCATAAATGCCACATTATCATCATTATTTTTATTTCTGCCAAGGAGCTCTTCTAGGGGAGGGATGATCCCTCAGCCAGCTCTACATCCTATAGCTCCACTAAATTTCAGGGCACTGCAAATAGTAGGTGCTCAACATATGCTGGTAGAAGGAAAAACATAGGGAAAATGGGATTTGGCTGCGTAGGGCAACCTGCTTCAGAAGGAACAGATGTCCTTAAGCATGAGTGAGGCCTTGGGGCTGTGCCAGGGGTAAAAACACTGTTACTTTATCAAAGTAGGGCCCCTTCTCAGGGTCATTTAAGGTTTTTGTTGGTTCAGGAAAGCAGATCCTTGTGTGACGTTTGAGACTTCTATTCCAGTCTATTAAAAGTCGTTTTGAGCTCTTGTCAGTTCTTCTAAGGTGACCCCTGATTTTCATTAAAACAAGTCACTGCTCAGAAGCCTTCAGGGGAGAGAGCAGCATAGCCAAGCAGTTAATAGCAAAAGCTTTCTCAGCTCGGCTACTTAGCTGTATGGCCACGAGCAAGTTCCTAAACCTCATCGTTTCTCAGCTTCATCAAGGATATAATAATGCCTAACTCATAGGGCTGTTGGGAAGACAGAATGAATCAGTACAGGTAAAGCCTTTCAAACAATGTTTGCCACACAGTAATTGCTCAATATATATTTGGGAAAAGAATGAATGGACTGTTCTCATCTGTGAGTGCAAATCCCCACTTGGCTACACTTAGGATTCTAAGCTGTCCTTTCATGCAGGCTCCCCACAGAGTAACTCTTTGGAGTCTCTTCCTTTCCCTCAAAGCAGCCCCTGGGCAGCAAAGCTTCTGAAGTCAGTTCTAGTCCCATACCCCTGGACCACCTCCCTCTTTCCCTCACACTGTTAAGATGCTCCCTCCAGGAAAGAATTGGCCTGGCAACTCCCCCCTCCTTGACCTCTTCAGGAGGCAGAGGAGAGGACACCTTTACACTCAGTGGGGTGCTGGGTGGGAGCTGCGAGCCGACACCCTGCTTCGGGAAGAGCCTGGGGAGTTCAGAGCCTGGCTCCTGTCCCCCAAACTCCTGGCCCTGCTGGAGGAAGCAAGTTCCTTTGCTAAAAATTAAACATCCTCTTTGTAAGCAGCAAGAAAACAGGACATGGGAAGCGTCCCATGGGGTGAACTTGGGCCCCCCGATGCCTAGCGCCCCCTGCTCTCTTGTGGAGTAGCAGCCTGGTGGCTTGACCCCTTCCTTTCTCACACTTGCTCACCTTGGCAGGGGAGCCCTGCTCCCACCACCCTCACAAGGCCCTTGAGCTCCGCTGACAAAGCTCTTGCTTCTTCCCTAGCTCTCAGGAACTCCTTCAGGAGTCTCTACATCTCTGTCTATGCCTCCTTCCAGGGCCTCGCAAAATGGCAAAACACATCACTGAAGAAAGAATGAAGGAAAAAAAGCAAAAAAAAACACCAAAAACGTAACTTCAACAAGCATTTATTGAACATCAACTGTGTGCCAGGCCCTGTTCTAGGCGCTGGGCGGCAGCAGCGACCAGGACAGATCAGGAATCCCCGCCTGCTGAAGCTCACATTCTCAGGAAGGAGTCCATTGTTCAGCTTTTTGAATACTCGCCGAGCTTGTTCCCACTTCAGGGTCTTTGCGCTTGGTGTTCCTTCTGCCTGGAATGCTCTTCCTCCAAGTATTCTTAGGGCACGCTCCCCTCTGGGGTTCAGCTCAAATGTCACCTCAGAGACGCCTCCCCTGACCACCTCATCTAAAACAGCAACTCAACCCCTCTGTTCCTCTCCATCCCTTTCACCCTGCTTCATTATTTTTCATAGCTTTTGTTACCATCTGACATAACATTGTGTATTTACAACTGTAATAGTATACCTGTATTTAGTACAGTTACTTTAGTAAGTAAATGTGGGGACACCAGCATATTTATATATATTAACGTATACATTTATATGTTATACGTATATGATGATATGTAGATTTTATACACATATTATACAAAATGCATAAAATATATACCATTATCTATTTCTTTATATTTACATATAATAGCATATTTATATTTATTATATTTACTACTATGTAATTTATGTACTGGTGAAATACATCACTATATATTTCTGTATAATCATATACATATTATGTTAGATGGCATATATGTTCATATACTTAATATAATATATATCCTCCCTTGTCTCAGTTTCCTCATCTGTAAACTAGGGATAATTACAGTAACCACCTCATATGGTTGTTGTAAGGATTAAAATGAGTTAACAGGGCTAGCCAGTTAGCTCAGTTGGTTAGAATGTAGTGTAATAACATTTAGGTCAAGGATCTCCACACTAACCAGCAGCCAAAAAATAAATAAATAAAATGAGTGAACAAAGGAAAGGATTCAGCGGTGCGCTGGAGCCAACCCATGCAGGTTTCAAGGAGATTTTTTTTAATTTTCAGGAATTTTGCAAACTGGTTGTTAAACAGCCATTGTTAAAAATGAAATAAACTCACAATTAAATTAGTTATAAAGGTAAAAAATACTCAAAACTCGTCATTTCTTAGTTATTTTGCTGCACTTCACTATTTTCTATGCTCCTGAGGGTACACTTATTCTCTATGCTCTGAGAATATATATTATTTTATTAAGTATATGAACATATATGCCATTTACCCCTATTTTATCTGAATGGTAGAAATGGTTTATAATGGTGCACCACTGCATTTCTTCCGAACTCTGTGTTCAGTGAGTACACGTTAGTAACTTGAAATCTGACAAGATGATAATATGGAAATTGGCAAATGTTAGAAACCAGAGCTCCCCTACCCGCAAAGCTGCACACCACTGACAGCACTTAGAACTGGGGTAAACGCTATAAGTGTTTCCATTACTATATTCATGTTTGTACACTGGGTCGCGATGTACAGTTTTTTCTGTATATGTATGTGGGTCCAGAGTTTTAAATGTTTGAAGAAAAAAAAACGTCTGAAGAACACAGAATTACGAAAAGCCAGACAGTGTGCTAAGCTACACCTATTTAATCTTCCCGATAACGCTGTGAAGTCTTACTACTGATTTCCCCACTTTCCAGATGGCTAAACCGAAGTTCTCAGACGGTAAAATTCAGGTACCGTTATCAGCGTTAGTGGGGTTCGAAACTGCTGCAGAGTAGCTCCCACGCGCTCACGCACGGACCCAATGCAATTTCCTTATTCTCACGTTCACGCCCCCAGCCGTAGTTTCGCTTCGCACACGCGTAAAATGGGCACCGTCGTGCTCGTTGCATCTTGGGAAATGTAGTCCACAGGCACAGCGACCTCCGCGATCCAGGGAGGGCGGGGTTAGTCGCTCTTGGCCTTGGAACAAAAGAACAAAGAAGCAGTTCTTGTGCGTCGCGGTGTTTCAGCCATGCAGTGCGTGAGTTCAGCCACGTTGGTCGTGCCTGTCGCATGCTGAGAACTGCAGTTAGCGTGACCTCGCTACGTCTACACAAGATGTTGGGACCCACTTTGTAAGTTCGGATAGGGTCCGGGCCTCGCCAGAATCTCTCCGTTTCACGATACCAAGCTTGCCACGCTGTGATGACCTTTAGGCATGCACGACAGGCATTTGGGTCAACTGCGAACACAAACTGAAGCCCTACCACTTCTCACCGGTTTGCTCTCTCTTCGAGGCTCGGGCTGCTCGCGGACCAACCTCCTTCCCCCGCTTCTCTCCGCTCCGAAAGCTGAGGTAGGCCCTGGGGCGAGGAGGACGTGGACCCCGGCCGAGACTCAAGGCACGCCTGCTCTGTCCCGCCGGCGGGAGAAGGAGGCAGGTCCTCTCTAGGCGCTGCAGCTGCGTAGTCCGGGCGCCAAGGTTTGTCTGCAGAAGGGGACCAGTATGCGGGGTGGGCAGAGGGCGAAGGGGCATGGGGCCCAGCAGTCCAGATATCCGCGGTGCTGCCTTGAGGGGGATTGGTGGTCGCAGTGAGGCATGGTCTTTGAGGTACTGATGAGGAGGGACGGAGGGTGTGGTCAGAGGGCTGTTAATAGGAAATTGGGTGGACCGCGAGGGTAATATAGAGGTCTGATGGGTGTTACTGGGGAATCAACAGGGGGAAATAGGAGTGTTCATGGGGGCTGGTGGGGTGTGTTCACTGATTGATTAATGAAGGAGTGGTAGAGAGGGTAAGTAGAAGATAATGGGAGGCAGGTGGGGTGTGATATTCACCGAGTTAATGGAGAGCAGTGAGGCATAGTCAACGAAAGGGTAGTGGTGAGACTGTGGAGGGAATAGCAGAGACGGGTGGGGGTCGTGATCAAGGGACTAATGGGGGCAATGGTGAAAGAAGAGGTCATGAGGGGCTGGTGGGGTACTATAGTCAAAGAACTAATAGTGGGCAACTGTGACATGACCATCGAGGAATTATTGGGGACAGAGTGAACAAAGCGGGTAATGGTAAGCTGGTGGGGTGTGCTCATGGAGTGATTGATCAGCAGAGGGCGGGGTGTGCTGTGAGGGAGAATGGGGACCTGATGTGTGATCATCAGGTAGTAATGTGAGTGTGTGTTAATGAAGGGGCTACAGGGGGCTAGTGGTGTGGTCTGTGAGGGGTCAATTGGAGGGCTGAGTTATCAGGAGCTGATAAATCGGTAATTGAGAGCTTAATGGGGAGCTAATAGGCCATGATCCTCCAGGCGTTAATAGAGGTTGGTAACGGTGTAGTAATGAAGGGATTACTGGGGACCTAATCATTTAAGGGATTAATGGGGAATGGAGCGGACAGAGAGAGATTAAGGGGGTGGGAGGTCCTATTAGAATAATGAGGGCAAAAAGCAAGGGATTAATGGGGGGCTAAGAGGACTGCATGAATCTAAGGGCAATAGGGACAACTGGGAAGATGGTCATAATGGGGATGAGGTGGGCGGAGAAGCGTTAATTGTGAGAGTCACAGGGTTTAATGTGTGGGCTGTGGGTGACAGTGATGGGAAGGGCACAGGATCACTAGTGGGTCATCTGTGAGATAAGTGTTGGGTTTGTGGGGTCTTTTTTGGGAAATGTGGGGTCTGTGTGATGAGCGATGGAGCCTGAGAGTTCAGTGACAGGGCCATTCAGGCCCTCTGAGGTCAGTGGGGTCAGTGTCTGGCCTTCGGTCTTCCCGTCTGCTGAGAGAGCTGTCATGTGGGTCAGAGGAGTCCAGTTTGGTTTGTGTGCTTCTCTCCACCCTACAGAGGTAGGTGTAGCCCACTCATCTGGTAACTGAGACAGGGAGGCAGCAGCTGTCGGCAGGTCCCTGGGCAGTGTGTGAGATGGGACGGACATCAAAGGACAAGAGGGATGTCTACTACCGCCTGGCCAAGGAGAATGGCTGGCGTGCCCGCAGCGCCTTCAAGCTGCTACAACTCGATGAGGAATTCCACCTCTTCCAAGGTCCCTCACTGACGGGCGAGTCACTGGGGCTGAGGGGCGGGCACAGGGAATGGACCAGTGGGCTGGGTCTGCAGAGCTCCCTGTGGGAGGTAGGCTGGCTTGGAGGGTCTCCAGGGCACAGAGACAGGCAGGAAGATGGGCAGAATACCCAAGAGGAGTTGGGCACCTGGACAGTGGAGAGCTGTGGGTGCTCCCCAGAGAAGTGGGGTGAACTTTTCAGGGTCCCCAGATTGGAGTGGTGGGTGCAGCTGACCAGTACACTTTCACTGTGTGTGCCCAGGTGTGACACGGGCAGTTGACCTGTGTGCAGCCCCAGGCAGCTGGAGCCAGGTGCTGAGCCAGAAGATTGGGTGAGTATGGGGGTCCCAGGTGGGGGGCCTAGAAGAGTGAGCTGAGTACAGGGGGCCCAGGAATGAAACTGGGCTGACATGGGCCATTTGTCCACAGGGGTCAGGGGTCCGGCCATGTGGTGGCTGTGGACCTGCAGGCTATGGCTCCACTACCAGGTGTGTTACAGATCCAGGGGGACATCACCCAGGTGAGAGCATGGCTGAGGGTGTTGGGGTGTACCCTGGGTGAAGGCCCCCCCATGGGGGCTGTGGAAAGTGGAAGAGAGAACGATAAAAACAGAGAGAGAAAGAGAAACTGAGAAAGACAGAGATAGAGAAAGTAACAGTGGGGAAACAGAGCCAGCAGGTGGTCATCGCAAAGAGACAGCAAAAAATGATGAAACTGGGCTCCCAGAGATGGAGCATGGTCTCAGATGGGCAAAGTCTGAGAATTTGGCTGACCCAGAGGCTGTGGGGCCAGGGCCGTGGGCAGGTGGGGTTCGAGGGCAGCAGCAGGGGCCCTAGGGCCACTCATCCTCCCTCTCTCCATAGCTGTCCACTGCCAAAGAGATCATCCAGCACTTTGAGGGCTGCCCCGCGGACCTAGTGGTGTGCGACGGGGCTCCCGATGGTAAACGGAAGGGGGGTGGGAGGCCAGGCGGGGCTACTGTGTGTGTCCTCCTCTGTATCTCCCACCTCAGTTGACTTCTTCCACCTCTTCAATTACTCCCTGCCTCTCTCCTCTGCTCTCAGCTTTCCTCCACATCTGACAACTTCTCCCCACCTCTGCCGCCTGCTCTCTGCCTCTGTCTTCTCCCTCACCCTTTCAGTTTTGTGCCTGTTGTCCATCCTTCCCTCTTCTTGTCTCTCTACAACTGTCTGGTTCCATCCTACTGTTCATTGATTTTTCTCAGTCAGTCAGCCAGCCATTCCACAGACATTTACTGAGCACCAGTTGTGTTGGGAAAACATTCCTGAATACGGTTCCACTAATCGCTGACCTCATGGAGCTGATGTTCTAGTGGGAGCAGATGGAAAAGAAAATAAATGATTGCACCATGTAGCATGTTAAAAGGTGATAGGTACCATAGGGAAATCAGTGAAACAGGGAAGGAGATGGGGAGAACCCATTGAGATTTTAAATAAAGTAGACAGGGAAGGCCTCACTGACTTCACAGCAGAGACCTAACGGAGGTGAGAAAGTGAGCCATGGGTATGCCTGGAGGAGGAATAATCCAGGCAAAGTTTGGGCCTGGGCAAAGACCCTGAGGCAGGAAGTTGCTTGGTATGTATGAAGAACAGCGAGGAGGTCAGTGTGGTTGGAACAGAGTGAGAAGAGGCATGGTAGGAAGTGAAGGCAGAGAGGTGACAGGAGACAGGTCCTGTAGGGCCTCTGGGCCATGGTGAGGATGTTGGCTTTTTCACTGAGACAAGAGCTCGGAGCAAACCATGAAAGGACTGTGAGCAGAGGAGGGCTGTGCCTGGCTCAGGTTGTGACACGTTCCGTGGTGCTGCTGTGAGCAGGCAAGGGCCGAAGCAGGGCCCAGAGAGCAGGAGGCCACCACAGTAGCCCAGGCAAGCGATGGTGGTGGTAGCAGTAATGGGGAGCAGAGGGTCAGTTCAGGAGATCTTTTGAAAGTAGAGCTTGAAGTGACTCGCTAATGGCTGAATGTGGGTGTGAGGGGGAGTCAAAAGTCACTAAAGTCTGTGGCCTGAACAACTATAAGGATCAGATGAGATGGGGAAGATGGTGGGAGGACCAGATTTGGCAAGGCAGGTCAGGAATCTGGTTTTGGACATGCTGGAGAGGTGGCATCCAATCTGTGAATCTAGAGTTGAGAAAAACAGTCTGGGCTGGAGGTAGAAATGATAATGATGCTTGAAGGTGAGGTTGTTTTGAGAGTTAAAATGAGTCCCTAAGGGTTAGGAGCTCAGAATATGCATCCAGTTGTCAGAGAATCATTTGCATCCAGAATCTTAGCAGAAAGAGAGCCTGGAGATGGTGTTTTTGGCTTTCTAATCTTTCTGGCACAACAGGATGCATAGGACTGGGTGTTCCCCTAACGCTGTTCCTCTTGCCGCAGTAACTGGCCTCCATGATGTGGATGAGTATATGCAGGCCCAGCTCCTCCTAGCCGTGAGTAACTCTGGCTGCCCCCACCCTACTTTGGCCCCTTCCTGGCTGTTTCCTCCTCAGCCTTAGCCCTCTGTCCTGCCCACAGGCTCTGAACATTGCCACACATGTCTTGAAGCCAGGGGGCTGCTTTGTGGCCAAGGTAAGTCTTGGGGCACCTGGTGGAGTATAGAGAGTGGTCCCTGAGGGCTGCCCTCACCCCTCCATCTTTGCCTCCCTACCTTGCAGATCTTTCGAGGCCGGGATGTGACGCTGCTCTACAGCCAGCTGCGGGTCTTCTTCTCCAGTGTGCTGTGTGCCAAGCCCAGGAGCAGCCGAAATTCCAGCATTGGTCAGTGGGGTAGTGGGACTGTGCAGGCAGAGGGGGATCTCGGGGACACAGCCTTCACGGGGGAATGTGGCAGTCATGCCTCACTCTAGACTCCCCCCACAGAGGCCTTCGCTGTCTGTCAGGGTTATGACCCTCCTGAGGGCTTCATGCCAGACCTGATGAAACCTCTGCTGGATCACTCGTACGGTGAGAGCCACGTGGACCCAACCCTGGGGAAAGAAACTCTGCCACCTTATGCAATGTCTTGTGAGGGCCCTTGGTCTCACCGCTTGCTAGAGACTCTGTCCCCTTAGGGAAATTCTATCCCAAGAGGATCCTCGGCCCCACCCTCTGATGAAAATTCCACCCTCTTGGGAATATTTTGTCCCAGAGGGATCTTCAGCCCAGGCAGTCCCCTAGTGGTAAGTTTTGGACCTGGTGGAAATTTTGTCCCAGGAGGCTCCTGAGCCCTGTCCCAGTGGAGGCTCCACCTGCCTGAGGAAATTCTATCCTGGGATGGCTCTCAGTGATGCCCCCAGGTGGAAGCCTCACCCCTGTGTGGAACTTGTGCCCCATGAGGGTCTTTAGCCTCATCCCTAGTGGGAAAAGATAAAGAGCCTGCCCTGGTGGAGATCACATCTGAGTGAGGCAAGGTCCAGGCAGTATATAGAGGATGTCAGGTGGGAATAAGTGTGGTGAAAAAACAGAACAGGGCTGATGCTTTAGAAGGGCTGGCTCTGGAAGGCCTCCCTGAGGAGGTGAGCTGAACCACATGAAAGATTTCTGGAGGGCGAGAGAGTAGCTGGTGGATATGTGGGGAGGCCTTGGCACCCATGCTGTGTCCTGAGCCATGACTGGCCCCAGGCATCCCAGCCCTGTCCCTCAGTCTTCTCTCCCTGTTTCTAAGATCCAGATTTCAACCAGCTAGATGGTCCCACCCGCATCATTGTGCCTTTTGTGACCTGTGGGGACCTGAGCTCCTATGATTCAGACCGCAGTTACCCACTGGATGTGAGTGCCGGCCAACACTGGGCGGGTGAGGGGAGGCTATTCTGGATTCCCAGGTCCTCCCTATCTCCCCACCTCTTGTGTCTCTGCAGCTAGAAGATGGCTCAGAGTATAAGTACACTCCGCCCACGCAGCCCCCCATCTCGCCGCCGTACCAGGAAGCCTGCAGGTTGAAGAAGAAAGGGCGGCTCGCCAAGGAGATCCGCCCCCAGGACTGCCCCATCAGCAGAGTGGACACGTTGCCACAGCCTCTGGCCGCCCCTCAGCACCACACCCTGCTGGCCCCTGAGGTCTGGAAACGTGGCTCTGAGCCTGCATTGACCTCTCCCCAGTGTGCCTCTTTCTGCCCGCAAATCACACATGTTTCTGGAGCCAAAATTCTCTTTCCTGCCACCCAATAGCTATAAAAATCAATGGGTAAAACCAAGCATAATGAATGGAAACATTTAGTTGTATATCTGAATCCCTTTTCTTTTTCTTGGGTAGATGGAGGACAGTGAAATGAATTGTTCACCTTAACACATTAAAGTAAGTTTGCTTTTTTATCTAAGAGTTTGAGTAAAGGGCACCTTGAAGAAAAAGTTCAATAAAATTTTACCTTTGAAATTTTTTCCGATAAGATTTTTCAGCTGATAAGATTTCAATCAACAAACCTTTACTAAGCGTCTGTTATTGTATGCCAGGAACTGCTTTAAGCTATTTACATATTGAGCACATACTGTGCAGGGAACAAAACAGCCCTCACAGAGCCTCTAGTTTGCGAAAGAGGTAATAAGAAAACAGTCTATAAATGCAGGACTTTCCACATATACACACTATTCGGTGGGCCCTCCGTATTCGCAAGTCCTGCATCAATGGATTCAACCAACCACGGATTGAAAATATTTGCCAAAAAAGTCAAAAATAACAATATAACAATAGAAAATAATACAGAATTTAAAACAGTACAATATAACAACTGTGTACATAGCATTTACATTGTATCAGATATTGTAAGTACAGGTTGAGTATCCCAAATCCAAAAATCCAAAATGTTCCAAAATCTAAAACTTTGAGCCCAGACATAGCTCAAAGAAAATGTTCATTGTAGCATTTCAAATAAGTATACGGGAGGATGTCCATAGGTTATATGCAAATACTATGCCATCTTATATAAGGGACTTGAGCATCTGCAGATTTTGGTATCCTCAGGAATCCTGGAACCAGTCGCCTGCAGATACCAAGAGATGACTGTATATAGCTTGCATTTCACTATATGTATATCTTGTAGTTTATATAATATGTAAAAGTAATAAGGGATATAAAAAAATAGAAGTAAAGCAGGGTAAGAGAATGAGGAATTCTACAGATGGTAGTTTGCAGTTTTTTAAAGTCATGGAAGGCCTCACTGAGGTAATGTTTGAGCAAAAACCTGAAGGAGCTGAGGGAAGGAATCCATGTGTTTGTTTATCTAGGAGACGAGCATTCCAGATGGAGGAAATAGCAAAGTTCCAGAGGTGGAGTTGTGCTGGTGTGGTAGGAAGCAGCAAGGGGGCAGTTTATCCATAGCAGAATGAGCTAAAGCCATAACGTTAGAGGATGTTCCTTTCTGATGGTGGCCTAGCAGGTTATTCGGACTAAATCTTCCATTAAAAAAAAGACAACTTAAAAAATTGAAACAGCAAATCACAGTGGGAAAAGATATTTACAATCCCTATATATAGTACCCTTTTTTTTTTTTTTTTTTTTGCGGGGAGGCAGCTGGCCAGATTGGAGATCTGAACCCTTGACCTTGGTGTTATCAGCACCATGCTTTCCCAAGTGAGCTAAACAGCCCGCCCAGTACCCTTAAGATTTAAAAGGTCCTATAAATCAATAAGGAAGCAAAAATATGAGAATGGCCAGTAAGCACATGAAAAGCTGCTCATCAGGGAAATGCAAGCTAAAATTTAAAAGACTGGTAATACTAAGTGTTTGGAAGGATATGCAACAATTAGAACCCTCATACATGCTGCTGGGAATGTAAAATAGTGCAGCCACTGTAGAAAACTTTTAGGCATTATCTTCTAAAGCTGCATGTATGTTGATTCCATTCCTAAGAAATGAGTACTAGAATGTTCTTAGCAGCACTATTTGTAGTGCCTCCATTAAGTTGTGATATATTCACAGTGGATAACTACACAGCAATGAGAATGAACGTCCTACAATTATACAAAATAACACCTTATAGTTAACTCATTAAGCTGAACATATATGTTTTGTGCATTTTTCTGTATGCTATGGTTCACAATAAAAGTAGGGAAAAAATCACAAAACTGTTAGCAGCTTAGGGAACAATGATTATAGTAGAAGAAAGTGGGGAAATATATTTTTGTTTAAAACTTTCTTTTTCCCTAAATGTCCATCATTGGATGACTGGGTAAGGAAATATGATATATTTATACAATGGAATACTACTCTGCCATAAAAAAGGAAATACTGCCTTTCGCAGCAACATGGATGAACTTAGAGAAAGTTATGTTAAGTGAAATAAGCCAGGCACAGAAAGAGAAATACTGCATGTCCTCACTCATTAGTGGGAGCTAAAAACATAAGGATATAACAATCACAATACGTTGAACTTTCAAAAGAAGAGAACAACTGTAGTTACCAGAGGTGGGAAGTGGGGGAATAAGGAGGGGGGAAGGGGAGGAATTGGTAAAGGGCCGCAAAAATCAATTACATTGTGTAATGAAGAATATACTGATTATCCTGATTAGAACATCACATATTGCACACAGGTATTGATAATCAATGCTGTACCCCGCAGATACATACAATCAACTGTGTGGGGTCCAGATGAAATAAAGGAACAGTGACATTAAGGGGGAAAAAAAACTTTCTTTTTCTTTTTTTTCTTTGACCTTCAGTTTGCTGGCAACTTGATACAACTCAGAATCCACTCTGTCAGGAAGACCAGAACTTGAGTTGATGAACTTGTTTTCAAGTATCTTCTCATCGATGGGGCCTGAACAGACAAGCCTTGGGTAGGAATCTACAACAACCACTGCAAAGACAACAAGGAAAGAAACACAGAAGTCTGAATTCTTTTTTTTTTTTTTTTTTGTCTTTTTTCCGTGTCCGGCAACGGATCGCAACCCTCAGTGAGTGAGAACTTCTCTAAACTTCTCCAGGGGTGTCCTGATTATGTCCAGAATTTTCCCTGCAAGCAGGGGAATCCATGAACTCGGAGGAAAATGTTACGTCTTTATTTTCACTAATATAACTTAAGTTTAGCTTTAACTCCCAGTTATGAATGCTGACAACACATTACAATGGTAAAAGCAATACCTCCGATTTTCCCACCAGAACAAACCAGTTACTTTCTATGTTATGATGCAGTTGTTGCAGATATCTTGAAGTATTATCTGCATTCCTCACCACTTTGAATGATAGCAGATCTTATAATTTGATGTATTAATAAAAAAAGCTCTAATATCCAGAATATACAAGGAACTCAAACAACTTTACAAGAAAAAAACAAGCAACCCAATTAAAAAATGGGCAAAAGAGCCAAATAGACATTTCTCTAAAGAAGATATACAAATGGCCGGGCCGACCGTGGCTCACTCGGTAGAGTGCGGTGCTGATAACACCAAGGCCGCGGGTTTGGATCCTATATAGGGATGGCCGGTTTGCTCACTGACTGAGCGTGGTGCTGACAACACCAAGCCAAGGGTTGAGATCCCCTTACCGGTCATCTTTTAAAAAAAAAAAAAAGAAGATATACAAATGGCCAACAAACATATGAAAAAATGCTCAACATCACTCAGCATTCACGAAATGCAAATCAAAACCACACTGAGATACCATCTCACCCCAGTTAGGATGGCTAAAATCCAAAAGAC